TATGCTTAAACTTATCCCTGTGGCAACAAAATAATAATAATAATAATAATAATAATGTGTCAGCTGCACGCCGTAACGGCGCTTCGCTGCCGCGCGACCACCACCAGTCGCGCGCGGGCTGAGTATACCGCGAGGACGCCCACCCCTACGCGGATTCGAACCGGTGACCTCATGGTTGCAAAGCAAACGTGCAGACCACTCGGCCACCGGCGGACAACAACAACTTCAAGTGGATCAAGTGAGATGCAGGACCAGCACCTCGCCCATCCCCAAGCCTCAAATGAAGTCCCGGTGCCCGCAGACCTCTTTGGGATGATAGTCAATGCATCTACTTGTCATCACTGCGTCAATTACTGGGGTTTCCTTTCAGTCATATCCACCTGAAGAGTCTAAACAAGCACAACTTGGTTGTCAAATGCACTTATTGTGTTGGTTGCTCGACGGCTTTCACCCACTATGGCCTTCTCATAGCAGAAAAGGAGCTGTTTATATTGCAAAACGGCTAACAACCGCGTCGCTTTCCAACCTAACCCGAGCATTTTAAGCACTCAGCTGATTGAATCACATAAGGAGGCAGTAAGTCAGGGCCATTCAGATGTACACAACGAAAGCAAAGTGATGACATTAATGTCATATTGAAATTGTACTCTGCAGCTGAAAACAATGACTCTTAGTAGCCAGTGAGGCCGATGAAATTATGTGTAGAAAAGATATCTGTGCGCCAATGCGACATAACGCAAATCTGCAGTAATGAACGCTTACTTATGCGTACTTGAATTTTTATCCCTCATCTAACAGCTGTATTGGGGGCTAACATCGCTCTTTTTTCTGTCTCTGGTTTGAATTAGCCCAACTACACTTTGTTTCGCATTCATTCGATTATCTTTGGTCTCCTTCTTATATGACAGACCTTAACCACCATGTGTGCTGCGCGGCCTGTTGGAACCACGGGAAACTCGAGGCCTAATGAGACACTAGACGATCAGACTGACACAGCCAAACAAATCACTTCGGTTGTAGATGATGCTGACGTCGCCACAAGGGTAGCGATGGTAAGTAATGTGTCCCACATCCCAGCCCATTTACGCGACTGAAAACAGTTCGGCAGATTTGTTCAATCCCTTGATTTCCCCAATTTATCTATTTTCCATACAATATCAAATACTCTTTGACTTGCCGCATTCCGAACCAGTTGGAGTTTACGACAATGGCTTATGAAATAGATTTAGAACTATACCTAATGTTATGCGCCTTAAGGCTATCTTCTTAAGCTCGCAAGCTCAAAATTCTTCTACCACGTGCTTAAACTAAGCTTTTTGATTTTATATCTACCCTCTCACTGATGACACTGTTCACCTGCTGTTTTCCCCTGTTTCTTCAAAGGGATTATATTCCTGTTTCCTCACCAAAGTTTGTTCTCCGGTATACTAGCTTGAGGAAGCAATCACTTCTTGAGTTTATCGTTAGTACACATCTCAGTGCAATCAGCGACTTTTCATCCAGGATTTTTAACGACCCCTTTCCCCGTAAAATATCTATTACTACTCGGCCGAAGTTTAAAGATTCTTTTCTTGCCATCTCGGTCACGATTATTAGTGGACCCAACGAGACTGAACCTTAGCGGGCTGCGATGGTTTGCTTACCCCGTGGCTCATAGAGCTACACTTTGTGGCACTTTCTAAGTGCTTTCAGAGCCACTCATACCAGACAGCTCAATGGTTAGGGATCAAACTAACTCAGTCTCGAAACCCAATCCTCTTCGGAGCGCTAGAGAGAGGTCGATGACCCTCTTCCTTTAAATCCTAGCCATGGGAGACAACAGGTCTACGGGTTATAAGCTTACAGCTCGATTGGCGTAGAGCACAAGCCACGCATTGTCCCTGACGGTGGCAGGGCACATCCTGGAGCTCAATGGTTTGCTACTGCCGCCTTAAGCCAGTCAGCCTTTGGGAAAATTGGTGCAAACCCACCAACTCCCACTTGCGGCTGGCCGTGGTTGTAGGTGCGTAACGAAATACGGTCCCAAAACATGTGAGTTGTTCCAAATCTTCAAAGACTTTGTGTGACAGGCCTCAAGCAGTTCCCAATGGGTCTCTGCAATCACTTACCCGAGCTGGACCTGCTCCCTACTGACTTGTAGACCAGGCAGTTGAGCCAAAGGCTCCGCGTGAAGTCTCTCAAGCGAACTTCCAAGTCCTCCACTGTCTTGTGCGTCAGGCTATTGAGCCAAAGGCTTCTGATGGAGTCCCTCAAGCGAACAATTAAATCCCCCACTGCCTTTTGGGTCAGACTGTGGAGTTAAATATTAGAGGTATGGCACCTCTAACAAAACTCCTATCTCGGAATGGGCAGTCAGAGAGTATCATCTGCCCGCTCAACCACGTCGACAATTCTCTCTCTTCTCATTTTTCCCAACAGCTCCCTTCTTCCCTGTCTATTGAGCAATAATCTGCCTCTGACCTCGCTGCATCTGCCATCGATACTCGTAGCTCGTCCATCAAATAACAGTTCTCATTTAACATTGGTTCTTTTAACTTCCGCACTCTGGGTCAGATCGGTCAACAATCGTCACTGACTCACTTCACTCTCTCGGTATTGATGTGTGCTGTGCCTCCGAAACACGCATACAAGATAACTGCGTCGTGACCAATCTTTGACTCCCTGGTTCTGGATCTGAAGGTAATGACTACACTTCGCGTCTCTGGTGATACCGAGTCAATGGCTTAAGGTATGCACGGTGTTGGTATTGCCCTCAGCAGACATGCCGAAGTTAATCTACTAGATTGCATACTGGTGAACAGCCGCATGTGTGTGATTTGACTTCGAACCACATTTTGGGTTAATAAGCACTGTATGAAGAGGCGAGGTGCCTTTTCATCACCTCAGTTTATGCTCTTACTGACTGTAGCTCGCAGGGTACCAAAGATGATTTCTACTACCATCTTTAATATCTTCTCCGCATGATGAAGAGTACTGACATCGTGATTGTTGCCAGTGAGTTGAGTGCACAAGTGTGTCGTCCTTCAGACTGAACAACACCTGGGAGGACGCCTCGGAGTCGATGCACGCCGAACAGACAGTGATGATCGAGCCGAACGCTGATTGGGATCGTCTCAAATGTGCCATGAAGAATGCCTTTGACGCTTACTGTGCACTCGACTTGAGACGTCGTAACTGTGAATCGATATCTGAAGCATCAATCAGTTTGATCGAAGCGCAGAAACAGGTTCCGATGGGCATTGAATTTCAGCGTTTCCGTAACTCTCTGAAACGACGTCTGACAAGGAGTATTCGAGTTGACCGGGAACCTTGTTGGGTTGCAAAGGTCTGTGAGATGGAGAAAGTCAGCGCCATTGGAAATAACCGGGTGTTATTCCAGCTCATCCGGAACACGGGTCCGAGAAAGCCGTCCGTTAGCGAGCCAAGCTGAGAAGTACGGACAGTTGATCTATTCTCTGCGTCGTCAACCAGCCCGCTTTGGCGGGAGATGTTGAGGAGTTCAGCAGGCCTGCTGGGACGCTGCTGCTTGCCGAATCACCCGAGCTGACGTGGAAAGTAGATGTCACACCTCATTTTGGAAGAGATTCGGCATGAGCTCGCCGAAACAAGGCTCCAGGACCCAGTGACCTTTGTTACATGTTTGCTGAAAGATGGCGGTGGCTCCTTGTTGACTGGACTTGCTTCTTTTTTGAACACGGTTTAGGACACTGAAGAAGTGACTTCAGACTGGCGATTAGCAACTCTCGCGCTCATCTTCAAGAGGGGTCAGCGTACTTTGTACGAATATCATCGAGGCATTAGCATTATTTCTATTGCCTTAAAACTTTTCACGCGTATCATTCTTCGATGACTTACTTGTCCCTGTGAGGACCGAATCACTGAAAGCTAGGCTGGTTTCGGTCCTGGCCGTGGTTGCATCGACCACATATTTACTCTTCGCCAACTTTTAGTGCAGAGGCATACAGACGACTGACTATAGTGACCTTCCTTGACTTGAAAGCCGCCTTCGACTCCGTGGACCGCGCCAGCTTGCGGCACTGGCTATGCATGAAGGGCGTGTCAGTTAAACTCCTTTCCATTCTGAAGTCCCTCTACCGTGATTCCTGAGGCCATATAAAGGTCTACGGGAAACTCTCCTGAATTCCCCACGACAAGTGGAGTTCGCCAGGGTTGTCATAAATCTTTCCTCGCCAATTTTTTCATAGAAATGATCATGAATGACTGTGTCCTTTCAGACTCTACCGGGGTGGAAGTTCTGCCAGGTGGCCTACTGACAAATCTGGAGTATGCGAAGGACATAGTTCTCCTTGAGTCTTATGTTTTGGCTATGCAAAAGCTACTGCATATACTTGTGCGTAGCGCTGCACGCTTCGGCATGTCTTTTGCACCTTCAAAGTGTAAAGTGATATTGCAAGACTGGGTTGACACACCGGTTTTAGCGACTTCCGAACAACCACTGGAAGTGGTGGCCAGGTTCACTTACCTTGGTAACTGTCACCTCTGGTGGTCACTTTACTGAGGAAGCTATTTTGCGTATCAACAAGACCCGAATGCCTTTTCAGACGCTCATCCATCTGGGGAGACGGCGGAATATCAGCTTGTCAGTGAAAGGTAAGGTGTATAATGCTGCGATAAGGCCAGTGTTACTGTATGGATCGGAGACATAGCCAGTTCTTAATGTAAACCCTAAACTTTTGGCCGTGTTTGACCACCGGTGCTTGCGAAGTATTGATTACGCTTGCTGGGAACACCGGGTGAGCAATGCTGAAGTCCCCAGTTGGTTTTCGGCAAGTGTGTTTGTTAAATTTTAGTCGCTTGCGTTTGCTAGGCCATGTCTTCCGTATGCCTGTTGACCGGATTCCTCGGCGTGCATTACACGCCTTGGCCGCATCAAGTTGGGCCAAACCGCGAGGTGACCAATCCATGACATGACATATAAGCTTGAAGAAATTGACTGAGAGGCTTGGTCAGGCTGGTATATGCTATCTTCTTGGATGGGGCTTTCAGGACGGTCCACACTAGTGGCTGGAGACCGTATCAAACATGGGGCAATCACGCAGTCAGTGGCGTTCCTGCATTCGGTTTCTTTCGTCTGGTTGTTCATTTTCACTCCATTCTGATTCGTCTAACGCATTTCTTTTTTGCTTTCATTTCTACCGGTGTTATTTATTGCTATTTTTACAGTGTGAGTTGTGGCAACTGGATCCACCGCACTTCGGTACTCGGATCATAGTTGATCGTCTGAACTAACCCAATAAGAGTGATGCACTAGTTCGCTACCATATGGTTGAAAATTAGCTTCTATTTTTCTTGTTATTTTTTTCTTTGTGGGTATGTTATGTTATACCCGCAGTGATTTTGCAATGTACTGAAAATGCGCCTATATCTGTATTTGGAGCTAAGTGTAACCGACACTTTTTGACAACTTAGCGGAAATGCCCAGTATTGATTAACCTCGACATGCTACTGTTACTCGGGTTTTTTGGTGATTCATGCATTTCATTCTTATAACTACTATGAGTTTACGTTTTCTGCTGTTTCTCTTTTTATAATTTACTTTTTCCGTCCACATCCATGTAGTTCCAATTCACATTAGCACACCCCCTTTCCTAGTTTCTGCTAACCCCCCAATTCTTCCCGTTAGGTTACATACTACTTGGGTAAGTCGGTCGTCCTGAAATTAGAGGGTGAAAATGGGGGCGTTAGTTCTTTCAATCCATGTAGACGTCGATTCCCTGTAATCTGATCATTATCCATCATTCTGCACGTTAGCTAGTGCTGAGAGACGTCTCAGCTATTGTGCTGCAATGGAATTCGATTAAATGCTAGTACAACTATTATTATCTTTATATCATGCGTAGATAACAGGATCTTATTTGGAGGTCGAGGCTAAACGGACTGGGGAGTTAAGAAGGAACCCACAACACGAACGCCACTGAGACGGGCTCTTTGCCATATCAAGTGTATACAACCAAGCGTGTTCCTCATCTTCCGGACCCCAACCAGTGACTCTGGAGGCACCAGCGTAAGCCGACTTTAAAGCAAAAACCCTCATTCTTCTCGACCAAATCACCGACTGGTCTTCTCTCCTGTTCCATCTACACCTCCGGCGCGCAAGCAGCGCACTTCGCGGGAGTCAGAACACTACGGTGCGCAACACATGGTCCATCCATCGCAGTCTGGTGCGTGATCTGATCTTGTTGAGCTGTGCACTTCCACTTCTTGCGCTATAAACACAACGCTGAACACGCTCATAACCCACGCAGTCTTCCCACCAGATTTGAGCCAAATTGCGAATGCACCGGTTGCCGAACGTACCCAACCTATTTATGTCTATCCATCTGATGGACCAGATTTCACAACCCTACGAGAGGATTGAACGCCAGCTGCATTGTAGTCATTCTTCATTGCGAGAATAATGTCACGCCTGCCACCCACGTGGCAAAAACTGGCAAAAGCACCTCGAGCTGTTGCTATGCGTTTCTCGACCTCATTTTCTACTCTCCAGATGCTGATACAATTGCCAAAGTAGTTAAATTTTCGAACGACTTCTAGTTTATCTCCGCCAGGAGTCAGTGCGGAGGGCATTGCCTGCCAGTCTTAGAGGAGAACTTTGCATTCGTAGGGTGCAAAGCGGATCCCAAAACGGTTGACAGCCAGTATTAATCTGTCCTGTGCTGTTTGGCACGTTTGGGAGCTGTCACAGATTGGAGCATTATCGCCGGCACACTCTAAGTCGTGAAGTCGATCAGCTGGGAGCAGCTCCACACTTTCTAATTCCTTTCGAATGGACACAGACTCCACAACGTAGCGAAGTTAAAAAGGAATGTTAACTGTAGGCTTTTCTGTTTTACACCGCTGGAGATATTAAAACGTTGAGACAATTGGCTATAAGCCCTCATCTGCGCGAGCTACGCGTGTAAAGCACTCTGATGATACTCATTCACCGGGCACACCATTCCTAAGCAGACAATTACAAAGAGCACATCGGCCCGCCGAATCATTGGTATTTTAATGTCAAGGACTACGGTGAGTCGTCAATATCAGTGACGGCGTTCCAACCAAATACGCAAAGTGCGGATGTGATCAGTGGAGCCTCGATTTCGACGAAACTTGGCTTTTTCTTCTCAAATTTGTCCTTCACGGGAGTCAGTTAAACTGCGAAGAGGCGACGAAGATAAGAGTGGTCCCTCTAAGATTGCCGCATTGTGAACCCAATTACCACTTGAAGATCTAAACAGTTACTGTTAGGACCGCTTCCTCCACCTACAATTTCACTTATAAATTGTGCAAATCATCCACAAGAGCTGGATCCCCGCTTTTGAACAGGGCTAAAGGAAGTCCATCTCATCTCGTGGGGCTTCAGCAGTCCGATCTCGCTTTTGACAACTAAGTAAGAGGACGGTTTCAGGGGGACTGCCCAGGAAGCAGGGCGTTCACTGGCCGGCGATGAACCTGATAATTCTGGCCGATTAAATTGCTTGTCAAGGTGATCAGCCTAATGCCCCAATCGTTTCGGAAGCTTGTGGGTATAGTGTCCCCTCTCGTCGCATACACTTTCGCCAACACCAGGTATCCTGCTGCTCGTTTTCCATGTCCGACGAATAACTTCCGACGGTTACCAAGGGTATTGGCTGTTTCCATCTCCGACGCAGTCTTACCCTGATGTCTTGATGAATCTCGTTGTGTTCGCTCCCACCCGGAATGTGTTGGCAAGCATTCGGAATTTCCGGAGGCTGCGCAAAATTCGGGTTTTAAATCAGATTTGCCTCATGAAGACATACCTGTTGCTAATAAAGTCTGGTGAACATGTAGCCAGTGACCTACAACTGTGTTTAGGGGGCGCTTGCTCAATCCAATTGCTGGTGTTTTTTTTTGAAAAGCTAGCTTTGCCATTTGGCGGGTGTTTATGCATTGACAGCGTCTCTGTATACAACCACCGAAACGTATCCGGAGCACATACTAAGTGCATCGTCGGGGTGCACGCCTGTGCTCCAAACTGAGCGATAGTTTTGGACGCAGTTTCTCTGGCGGCAGCAGTTTACTTTGAGATCCCATGGGTGACACATGCAGCTCCCAACCTAATTTGAAAGAATAATAAAAAGCGGTGTGCTATACGCAAACAATTGTTTTCACTTACTTCGTCTTCGGGCGCTTATTAATTGAAAACAATTGTTTGTGTATAGCTCACCGCTTTCAGTTATTCTCTCTGGTAGACGATATATAGGCATCTAATTTGAAATATGCTGGTTACCTGGATCACTTTATTCTGTCTTCTTCCTATTCTTCTTCCGCCTCAGGTTCGTTTCTTCGATTCCCCCAATATTTTGGCCAATCTCTCCGAACACACGAGGACCGTTCGGCTTTACCCTAGACCAGTAGTCGCTCTGCAGCATTATTCGTTCCTCAAATCCAGACAGCATTTGACCCCATTCATCCAACGGCTGTCTCAAACGCAGGCATGTTCCCTCTTTGTATCTGTGAAACCGTTTCATAGTTTCCATTCTAGCGTGTTTTTGCGTCGTTCCTGTTGTTATCTTTTACTATATAATAATGCGATTGTAAAGCTAACACCCATTTCCTCCGAGATTTATATCATGAACGCATTTAACTGGAGACGTTTAGGATGAACTTTGCTCTGAACTGGAATTCATGCTGTGATCCCATTTCCCTTCGAACGCTTACTTTCCGTAGTTTTCCTGTTTGATCTCTCGTGTTGGTCTGGCTTTTCCGTTATCTAAGTCGTATATTAGGCTATTCGCACCACTACTGCATGAGGTGTATGTTTTCCAACTTCAATGTTCCATATCGGTCTGGCGTAGTGTTTATTTAACCATTGACGAGCATATTGATTGTTGTTTGCCCGCTCCGTTCAATTCACCTCAGGTAAGAATAATATGCGCTACTTAACTTCTACACCGTCAAACTACCCACTTGTCATTGGCTGTGCACCGACTTACGGCAAGTGCAGATGGGGTGACTATTATCCCCTTCTACATGCTACCTTCTGGGTCCAACCTAAACAACCCTTATTAATATCATACATGCAATAAATAAATGGATGAATAGGTTCTCGGTAGTGCGAAACACGGTCCAGGGGGTTGGTCCTATCGGATTGTCCAAAGGATGATGATTGTCCAAATATCTCACAAGAAGAACCTTTCCGAGCTTCCGGAAAAGCCGCCGTCTCCTATAGATCTGAGAGTTTAGTACTCGTAGGATGGCAATTTGTCATTCGGGGACATGTCACGAATCAGAGAGTTCGTCATGATCAGATCCACCTCAGGTGTCTGGCGATGTGACAGTGATGGAGGTCTGTTAGAGTTATTGATGTTCACGTAGCTGTTCAAGCGGAAAGACCTGATCCACACCAATTACTCGAGTGGAACTAAGCTATTTCTGCGTTAGAAATGGATCCACTAATTGACAGTTATCTGCAAATCTGAATGACTTCTCTCTTGATATCGGGACCAATGACTCACCACAATTGATGGGACCCTTCTTTCTTGGTAGATTTTGTAAAGCATCCTTTTAAATGCTTACCAACCACCTCACCGCTATCCGTAGTCAACATAAAATGAGTTAATTCGACCATGAAGCTCTGTTTCGCCTCATCGAGCTGTCCTTGTAAGACTTCCCAAGGTTTCCCATACTCACGTATGCCCTGCCGATAGGGACTCTTTTTCTGACCTTTCTAGCTCTAGCGGCCTGACTACAAGGTAATGAGGCGAAGTCAGTGACCGATTTCTCAGTTCATGAGCCCTTGATTTCGGTGAACTACCAATTATTCAGCTTGCGCATGCTCGAATGCAATACTTTTTGGAATCGACGCAAGCAGCAATAGTTTTAGTTATTGTTCAGCAGCCTCCATCACGCCGTCGTGTCGTTACCAAACTTCTCGCTTTTTGAAGGAAGAGCGGTCGTCTAAAGGAAACTCACCACGTCCTGCTACAGTGCCGCGAAACTACTATACGGATGGAGCATAGCCTGAGATATTTACCCTGCTGGTACGAGTAACCGAAACGCGTCCTGAAAAGCTCCCGATGAAACAAATGTCGGTCACATTTTGGTCACTCAGCAAATTTTTTGGCAGCATAACACCCACTTCCTTTAGCATTTCCCAAAATTTTCCGTTAGGCTAATACGTCGACATCCCCTATTTAACGCGTTTAATGACGCCACGACAAGCGATTTAACGCACTCCTATTCGCTAAAAGCACATTTTTAGAGGGTAATTTGTTCACGATTATAACAAGGATACAGATACCGGCTCTTGCGTGCCACCAGTGCGTTCTTTCACTCGTTGCATCCATCGACGTACTTACTGCACGACGATGGCTTTGGCGCACCCAGCGAATCCCGCACGCAATATGGAAGCTGCAAATGAGGTAGTAAATTCTGTTGCACAGCTTACTAATAACTGCTCGGGCCAAAGGTATCCCGGCGACACGGAACTTGTCATATATGCCCCACTAATTGAGCTTCTCAACGAGGCTATTGGCTAGGCAAGTCGACATAATGTTTCGGACACATCCCGAGACATTGTTACCGCCTGTCTGCGCCAGGTAGGCCAACTAATACATGCATTCAGACAAATAATGAGTTCATTTTCAGTTTAATAGAACGCTATATCGACAACTAGACGAGGTGGCAATGGGTTTACCATTAGGACCGTTGCTCTCGGGCGTCGTCATGAGCAAATTGGAGTGCAACCAGCTGAACGAATCCATCAACAGCTTGGTTTATTACAGTCGATATGTAGACGACATATTTTGTGTTGCGGATAATAGAATGTGCGTCGATAATCTATTGGCCCGGTTTAACACTGCACATAGTAACATAACTTTCGCTATCGAGCTAGAACGTAACGACTCTTTGGCATTTTTAGATGTCCAAATCAACAGGGCATCAGACGAGTCGATGCGGAGGAGGGTGCACAGAAAAGCAACCTGGAATGGGCAGTATCTCCATTTCGCTACTTTTGTTCCGATGAGTCAAAAAAGGAACCTCCTCCGTTGCCTAACGGAGAGAGCGAGGAGAATATGTACAGTTGATACGCTTTCAGATGAGCTGAGTTTTGTACGAAACGTACTCGAGCGCAATGGGTGCCCTGAGAAATTCATCCAGAGGCACATGGAACCGTGAGTACAAAAGCCCAAACCCATTTCCGCGGAGAAGCGGATGAATACTTATCGTTACCATTTAAGGGTGACGCGATAGCGGAACGGACTACCCGAGACTTTCGTTAGCAACAGAGAGAAGGTATTTTGCCGCTAATCTCCGCGTAAGCTTCACCTCAACACCGATTGCGCGCCAACAACCTCGGTCGCAGACCTCCTTCTGTGTGTACAATTTCTCTTGCTCGTGTCGAGCAAGGTATATTGGGAAAACGACCAGGCGACTGTCCGTTAGGGCTCGAGAACATTGCCCAGCTTGGCTCTACAGCGGCGCGAGGAAGAACGTAACGAGTGCAGTATTGACGCACCCAGTAGACTCTGATCATCAAATTGATTCGCGTGACGCATTCACACCCATCTACTGTGTCCCCGGACGTTACGCACGGGTAGTCAGATGTCGACTGCTGTCGACAGCATAGGCGATCGCAATTCGACTCTATAACCCGGACCTATGGGGAGCTGGGCTCTAACCAAGGGCGGAATTTTGGTTACGGGCTGAGGTTAAATGGAACAGCCTGTATCAATTATGCAATGGCGAGTGTTAACAAATAATTAATGAGGTTTCAATAATAAAATGGAATGCACTCAGTATATTTATAGGGAGGTAAAGTTAAGTCAAGTTAAGTAAATTTTGCACCGAGTTCGAGTAACCACTGACCGCTTATAAAAGGCCGTCGCATTAGCCTGCTGAAATTTCTTCACATCCTGTTCCATGTCCGCAAATGTTCGCGAATATATAATTTCACCAAACGATTAAACGAAGGAAGATCGTCCACCATGATGGCAGCTTACAACGACGCGCCGCGGCTCATAACTGCACTTCGTTAGCTACTTGAACAACAACAGTGTTAAAATCTACAAACTTTAATATTACCACGTACCATAAATGCTCCTGAAACGCTTCATTATACACCACACAACATCAATAAGCAACATAGTCCACATGTAGCCTGGCGTACCAAACCACCCTCACCAAATTATCAACAAAGCACTTTGGTTAGAATCCCGGTCCGGGACCTATGTGCACAGAAAAAAGCTCGTCCACACTTTAACCTTGCCTTGGCCTCAGATCAACGCGAATAACAATGGCAGTCACGCCACTTCACTTGATCTCGCCTCAATCAGACAAAACACGTGGACTTATCGATTAGTTACTCTGCTTCAGTGACCAAATTTAAACCCATTGTGTCTATTCTAGCTTGCTTTATTGTGGTTGTATTAACCTGATGATGAAGCTCTGAAAACAAGCTCGTTCGCTACTTTCTGTTTCAAATAATGTGTTACCATTTTCCCCATTAAATCGAACTTCTCAAGCTCCTTGTTCATTACAACCATTGCCCCGAGCTCTTGGAGTGGGGTGGGGAAGGGACAGTATCCTTTAATGCTTTCTGCCATCTTGAACTTGATGGTGTTGATGCTCCAAAGAGGTGACGCACTCGCGGACCCGTATTAGCTCGCGAGTATCCTGATTCAGTTTCACTGCATTGTCACCAACAGCGTTATTTGAATGGACATACCTGATAGTTCACGAAGTAAATCGTAAACGGATGTCGATCCAGGTCCCGCTGTGTAACTGGAGCACAGGGCGCTTATGGGGATAATGAGCTGTTAGATAAACACGGTACCTAGTTATCGGCTGCATAGAAACTTCGGTATTTTCTTTCATTGTACTTGACGACGACTCCCCCGCCATCTCCAATTTAGGCGGTGGACGATAATAGTCCACCTCAACCGAATACTTACGTACTGTGTGATACGATTTCGTCGGTGATTCGAATCATTGGAAGCTTTTGGGAATGTTAAATACGTTGAGCTAAGAAGTCCACTCTTACATGGACCTTCTTCACCCACTCACCGTATCATGGGGTCTGTTGCATCGCTGGACGCAACTTCGGCTTTGGTCAGAAGCTCTTCCTCTAACCCCTTTGTTTGTGCGTAATCGTTTATAACGTAGAATTATGGGCATCACGTACCTGTGGTTTTGTGGACTCCCATGTTATGCATAACCGCGGATACAGGTGCGGGTAGATGATTAATCAGCATTGACTCCAGCTGCCTGAAGTTCAGTCTGCCCCAAAACATTTGCTTTACACCAGTCGTCCATGATTGCAACACATTCGCGACCGACGTATCTTCACATTCAATAACGCGGTACATCTGAAAGTGAAAATGCTGCTCGAAAAAACGTCCACAGGGAGCATTAGAGCCAAAAGAGGAATGTTATTCGCATGATTTATTGCATGTGAGCACATAATACAGCGGGAACTTTAAGTTCTCTTGCC